CTATCGCAGGGATGCCCCCTCTCCCTGCTCCTCTTCACAATGGTAATGGATGTTTTCAGCCAGCTTATGGAGAAAGCCAAAAACCTTAATTTAATCAAAGGTTTTGAGGTAGGAAGAGATGCCATAAATGTCTCCCACCTCCTCTTTGCTGATGATGTCATCTTGTTCCTGGAAGCCAATTCGGAGAACATCTCAAATGTGAAAAGAGTGCTTCAGTGTTTTGAATTAGTATCGGGGCCGAAGGTAAATTACTCAAAGAGTAGCCTAGCAGCAATAAACCAGATTGAAGGATCCCTGATGGAAAATTTCAAGGAAACTCCGAATTATCAGGTGTATTTCTTTTCTGGGGAATTAAAAATTTTTAGCTCCTCTTCCCTGTAACTTTTTTCCAATATTAATGAATTCTATGGTTATTGATCAAAAAAAATCTCCCCCTTTCTTATTTAGGCATGCCACTAGGAGGGAACCCAAAAAATCCAAGTTTTTGGGAGCCTGTGATGGAAAAGTGTGAAAAGAAGTTAGCTACTTGGAAAAGCTGCTACCTATCAAAAGGGGGCAGAATTACACTCATTAAGGCTTCCCTTGTAAACATGCCTGTCTATTTCCTATCAGTGTTTCAGATCCCTGCAAGAGCCAAATCACAGATCGAAAAAATCCAAAGAGATTTCCTTTGGGAAGGCGGAGGTGTCGGAAAAGGGCATCTAGTAAATTGGAATCAGGTCTGTAAACCAAAAGAGGCTGGTGGACTGGGTACCGGGCATCTAAAAGAGAAAAACAATGCCCTTCTTGGAAAATGGCTGTGGAGATTCCCCACTGAATCAAATTCTCTATGGTCAGCTATCATCACCAACAAGTACGGGTTAAATGTAAATGGTTGGGACTGCAATCTCCGCTCAAACCGATCAGCTTTCTCAAATCCCTGGAAAGGTATCTCTGCCATTCACAACCTCTTTAATTCTTTCATTAGATATAAGGTGGGTAACAGTACAAGAATAAAGTTCTGGACAGATCTGTGGTGGAGCAACTTCACATTAGCAGAATCGCATCCCAGGCTCTACAACCTTACTCTAAATAAGGGTGCAACCATCTCCAAGTGCCTTCCCTTTTCCACCAATGAAAGAAACTTAAACTTGAACCTCAGAAGACCCTTAAGGGATCTGGAGATCAGTGAGCTTACTGACCTCCTTCTTTCTCTTAGTGAAGTCTACATCTCCCCAAATTCCCAAGACTCCTGAGTCTGGAAACCCCACCCTGGAGGTGAGTTCTTGTCCAAGTCTTTCTTCGAAGCTCTGGTTGCAGCTAACTGAGACAGTGACTTCCCTTACAAGAAGATCTGGTGCAAGTTTATACCCTCAAGGGTGTGTTTCTTTGTTTGGGAGGCTTGCCTGCAGCAAGTGAACACTTGTGAATTATTGCAGAAGAAAAATCTTGGAAGGGTTTATATCTCCCCTCACGTCTGTACCCTATGCTTACGTGAGGGAGAGACAACAGACCATCTCTTCATACATTGTCAGGTAGCCAGCAGTATCTGGAACTTCTTTCTACATTTAGTTGGCTTTAGTTGGGTGGCTCCTAAGCACCTTCAGGAACTGATTTCTCAGTGGCAAGGAAGAGGTCTGAACAAGAGAGGTAAGACCTATTGGCTGATAATACTGCACGCCGTTCTTTGGGGAATTTGGGAGGAAAGAAACAATCGGCTGTTTGAAAACAGGTCAAGATCTAAGGGTGAGCTGATCAACCACATCACTCACTACTGCAATTTGTGGACCTCCAGTTTAGGGGAGTTCACAGGAGTCAGTATTAATGATCTCAGCAGAAACGTGTATAACTTCCTGGTCTTCTCCCCTCCTACCCCACCCCCTCCCAGAGCTCCCTCAGTAAGAAGGGAAGGAACCTAGACTCTTAGCTTTGATGGAAGTGCTTTTGGTAACCCTGGAGCCGCCGGCATAGGGGGAACTCTAAGAGATGAGAATGACCACACATGCTGGGTTTATAGTGGTCCAATTGGGATAGCTGGCTCCACAAAGGCAGAAGTGTTAGCAGCTCTCACAGGGATTCGCCTAGTCAGCAAACTGGGCATTCAAAACTTCTCAATTGAAGGTGATTCAGCAAATACTATAAGATGGTTGAAACAACAGGAAGCTGGACCTTAGAGACTTAGTCACTTCCTATCAGAGGCAAGGGACCTCCTGGCTCATATGAATGTTTCTCTAACCTGGATCCCAAGGGAACTAAATGCAATTGCAGATGGCCTAGCAAAATTAGGAGTCATTCTAGAGACATTGTATTGTGATTCTTGTCCTCCTGTGTAATTCTCAGGGGTCTGGCCCCTCTTTTGTACTTGTACACCCTCTTGTGTACCTCTCATTTCTTTAATAAAATTAGTTAACTTTTTTCAAAAAAATCAGTTGTGAATAGGAATCTGTCTAACTTACAACAAGTGGGAACCTCTTGAAATTTTGACCAAGTATAATTTGCTCTCTAAATAGGTAAATCCCGCAACTCAAAGGTCTCTATGAAGAGGTTAAACTTCCTCATACTCGTTGTAACCCAGTGATTTGGGTTGTTTGATTCACTCAAAAATCTTATGACATTAAAATCTCCTCCCAAACACCAGGGGCCCTCCCAAAGACCTCTCACTGCTGCTAACTCCTCCCAAAGTCCCTCCCTTTCCTTATAAGAGGTGGGTCCATACACATTAGTTAAAACCCATTCCCAGTCATCCATCCTCCTCTTCAACTTTGGACACTGAATACTTCCCAATTAACTCCTCAGTACACTCCATCTCTGCATTTTTCCACAAAGTTATAATTCCCCCTGAAGCTCCCCAAGATTGTGCGTATGCTTAACTTATGTCTCTCGCTGACCAGATACTTCTTACCCAATTCCTATCTAACTCAAACAACTTAGATTCTTGAATCAACACAATATATGGTTTTTCTCTTCTCAACAGATCCCTAATCACTCCTCTTTTTCTTGAGCTTCCTAACCCTCTTACATTCCAGCTAATCAATTTCATGGAGACCGCGACAAAATATCCTTTAACCAAACAAACCACTCACCGCTTCTTCTTCTCCTTTTTTCCAACACTCCCTTTATCATAATCCACCTCACTTAATTTTTTCTTTCTCTGCTTTTTTACACCAGCTCCTTTAGATCTAGGCTCCTCTAGCTTCTCTTTCCCTCTTTCTTTCTATTTGGACCCTTTTTCTTTGTTTTCCCCTTTTGTTTTTTTGAGCCAGCTTCTGCATTTAATCTACCATCACCCTTTACTTCCTCTTCAACAATAGGATTAGGAGTGTCACCCTCCTCATCCCTTTCAATCTGTTCAGCCATCTCTTCCTCCACCTGGATTCTATCGCAACTCATTACTTGCTAATGCATGGTTTTCATGCAAGGCATGTAATATTTTCTTTTGTAAATTTTAATATTGTAACCTCAATCATGGTAACAGTTCTTGTTAATTGTGTGCTTCCTAATTCAACTCGTCTTTGAATTACCCAATAGGTTAGCTGTCAAGGCATTACAATATAACAACCTAGGTCCGCATAGTTTGCAACTAGTTTCATTGATCCTCTAGTTTTAATAGGTCTCTTCATTATGGATGACCCAGTGTAATTTCAAGGCTTTAAAGGCCAAGGAGTACGTCAAAAAGGATTATGTCTGGCATTCTGGATAAGGCATGAACCTATATTGAGTGAAGTAGAAGAAAATTTAGATAGTTGGACCCAGATGGCAGGGACAAGGATTATATTTCTGACTTGCAATCTCGCTCTCACATTCATGCAGCAACCTATTGAGATTTGGAGGAGATGCACCAACAAATAGGAAATGTGATAACATTCATAACAAAAATAAAAGTTGGGACTGTCAACAAGAAAATCAACATTGGTCCCTGCTAGGGCTGTCAATGGGTTGGGTCCGGCCCAACGGATCTGATGGACCAGAACCGATTGGGCCGGTTATGGTTCTGGGAACTGGAACCAAGGGGTCTGTTCTGGGTCCTGATATAGGGTCCCGATTACTATCAGTTTGGAACCGGGTCCTGTATATATTATATTATACATTATAATATATATTATAATGTATAATATATTAAATAAATTATATACATACTATACATATAATATATATAGAATATTTAATATATATTAAACATAAATATTTATTTTTTATTTATTATAATCGGGTCTGTCGGGTCAGACCCGATTGGTCCGGTTTCTGGGTCCAAAAATTACAGGCCCTATCGGGTCCGGGACCTCAACATTTCATGTTGGGCCAGTTACGGTTCCAGCTGGTTCCGGCCCAGACCCAACCTGTTGACAGCCCTAGTTGCTGCAACTTCCTATAGTTAAGTCCCTATCACAGCCACAAGAATAGAGAGGTTCCATGTAGCTCAATTATATGAACTTGTATGGAATAGATCCAGATTGTTAAATAATTGCAAACACAAAACTTGTGGTCTTTCATTGTCTGACTTGTTCACTTAACAAATAACCTTTAAATGAACTCATCTCAGCGAAATCTTGGTATCCCAAGACTTTAGCTTAGATGTCCACCTGTTGAATATATGTCCACACCTGACATCCACAGCTTACCCATGTAAATCACAAGGTGTTTTGAAAATGCCCTCAATACATAAATCCAGTGCAATTTTCTTGTAGAATAACTCTCGGCTTATGTATGGAACTAGGCACATGTATCATGTAAATAACTAAATATATGCTCTTTACATGTCCACAAGCCCATTAACTGTTATGTGCAATATTTTTAGAAGTACATGTCTGTAGATGTGTATTTTATGTCTCAAAGTTGCAAAGCAATCCTAGGGCTGTGATATCCTAATTCAATTCAACTAAGCCCTGTTCCAACTATATGGAGCCATCTGCATGAGTCCTGTGCTACTGTGATATCTAATATATTTCAATATTGAGTAGCTTATTTTACAAAATAACTTATGTCCCATTACTGCAATAAACAGCCCGAATAGGACCTTTTACCTCATCATCATAGCGTATATCTGTTATCCAACCTTCTTCTTTAAGCCTTTGTACTTCATAAACCCCTTCATTAATGAATGCCTCAATTTCTTCTCTTTTCTTCCCTGGAAAAGAAAATTCAGGAACAAGTGAGATCTAATAATGATTGTTTAATAAATTAAACCAAAATCTTCGTAAGGCAAAGCACCTTTACTGGAGGAAACCTTATCCAGCCAATTTCCATAGATGTTATCAAGTAATGCAGTCAGCATCTCGCAATTTTCTTGAGACATGTTCTTACGTGTGAGTTGATCACCAGCACTTTTATACTTACCAATTCTTTGGACTTGTGGTTCAATTCCTACTTTCTCAAAAATACCTGCAAGATATTTTGTGATGCCATCCCATTGAATGTTTAGTAAAGGCACTTTGAGCATTGAATATGAACAGGCATCTTACAAAATTATCATTTATCTCTATAAGAAATGCAAAAACATGAATATTAGCATGGTGTGAGAGGGAGGTTTAAGTGCATAATGATGCCATATTAGCTATTCTCACAGAAGAAATCACAACATATACACTCAAGCATATTTTCCAACATTGCATCTATAATGTTTTCCTGTAACTCTTTTACTTCTTCCTTTTTTTTCTTGGAAATATGGTATGATGCCTGGCAATAAAGATGAATAAGTTCAACACGGTTACAATGAATTAAAAGAACTTTTTCTTGGCACCATATTGTGAACTATATGCACCAGAATAGTCTATCTAGCAACCATAACACAGCAAGATCACTCATTTTATGTATTATTCACTTAATTTGTGATATTTCTAGAGTAAGACAATCCAAAACAAGCCCCACTTCTAGTCAAAAGGGCAGTGTAACTAAGAAAACAGATTTTGGTAATAAGAATTAATGAACTTCCAGATTTATACCATATGTGGGATGCAGAACAGCTGGCCTAGAGGTTATGATCAGCCAATAGGATCTCGGTTTAAATCAAAAGCATGTGACTTTATTTGAGCCTTAGTTTTTTGTGTCAAGCATGCTTAAATTTGATTTTATCATGCTAAAAATTTTATTTGACACACAAGGAGTCCAAGAGCATGCAATCTAGATATGAATTGAGAGTGCTATGAGAAAGATATGGACGACCTAAGGATACTTGGAATATATATATATATGGATCATTTATTCTTGTAAGTTACAGCTTTTGATTTAAGAACTTATTCCATTGAGAGTTCATTATATAAGTGAAACTAATTTTAGAAATTTGTTGAAGTTGTCATGGGGGCAAAATAAACTATTTCTACAAAGTTCTTTTATGAGTTCCAACCCCTATTTTCAGATATTTCCTAACAGGATTTGACTATGATACCAGAAGGACATGATACCAGAAAGATTTACAGCCAATCAACCGGTATCATAAAAGAGGTGACCAATCAGGTGGTATTCATCAAAATTCAAGGGGGTGCTTTGATTGGTCAAAGTTCTTCCAGTACCATGTCTTTCCAGTATCATAGATTTTCCCTTCCTAATATGATACAATGTTTGGAATCTTTAGAAACTTTTCAGCTTTGAGAAATAAGCATTGAATATTGTATAAGGAAAAGTAATGAAAATCAAATAAAATTAAATTTTATTTTGGCTGATTTTGCTCAAATGGATCCTTACTATCTTAGTTTTCTTTTTTCTTCTTTGTCTTCTCTTTTGTTCCATTGACCTTACACAATCCAGGTTGATTTGTCTGAACTGTCTTGTGTCATGCCATCACTTTCACTCCTGAGATTAAGATCAATGATAATGAGGTGCAATTATACAGTGATCTTTACAAGTTGAACTGGAACAACGATGAACTGTAGAAAATTATCTGGGAGGTAAGTAGGAAGAAAGGGCATATTACGTTGTAAAGAGAAGTCAAATAACAAGTCATCTATGAATGCAAAGCAACAAGCTGAAAGAGTAGAGAGCTTCTTTTTATTTTCTTAACAGTCAAAATTTTATTGGTCGTGTAAAAACTAAGAGTATATATACAGCATAAGGGCTGGATTGCCTGTGTTTGTTAGGCTGCCATGTGCTTCCTAACCCCAACTCCTACCAACTACATCAATCATTGTGATACTGTTCCGAAAATGAGATTATGTTTACCCCTTGTGTGGCCATTATATTGACCAAACTATTTGCTGATCTTCGAACATAGTTGAAAGTGCCTCCTAGCTCCTAGCAAGGGATGTCACTTTCCTCATAATGTGTTGATATTACCATGAACTGTGGTCCTAGTTCTTTAGTCATTCCACCACAACAACCCATGAGTCTCCTTATATCAATATTTTTCTGAAGTTAAAAGATTTACCCAGCTTCAGCCCTTGTAAAACAGCTAGTAGTTCTTGTTCTGTGTTGCTGATCAGAAAAAACAGCTAGTAGTTCTGCTCTTGTTGAGTCCCTAACTCCTAGGGATCCTGTCTATATAACTGAGAGGTTGGAGTTGTGAAGTTGTTCAATGCAAAATTTCAGGTTGCAACAGACTTTGACAGCACCAAATATGACCAGACAGTCTAAGCTTAGTTGCATACTAGGATGGACACAAAAACTATTTCTACCATATGTGCTTCTTCTGTCATAACACAAAGGTTATAATTCCTTCCAGGTTAAAATGAAGCAGACAACATGTTTGTAAGAAATCTTTCTGTGAAAGTTTAGTGGCTCAAAAAGGAAGCCATGTCAAGTTCAATTAAAATTATTCTATCATTTCTTTTAGCTGGAAAACTTCTCCCCTTCAAAATTTTCTGTTAGGAAGTTCTCCTGATGGACCTCTAATGATTGGACCCAACAGCACCTGCATGTAGACAATTTGATGGTACAGATAAAGATTCTTGCCAACCTCCCCTCTTGAAGCAAGCATTCCTCAACAATTATTTCACAACCTCTAATAGTATCTACCTTCTTCAATCAACTTTCGGATTCAATCATGAAAACCAAGCAAAATAAACTTACCCCCTAGGAATGTTGCTTGAACTGCCAAACCATACAATGCAAAATAAGCACTAGGAGGAGCATATAGCTCTTCACAAGCACAGCCAAGGTAATACTCCTTCTCTCCGCAAGCTGGGACATAGCCCACGATGAATTTACCTACAAGCACCATGACAAAAAAAAAGCAAAGTTATCATTCTTCTATTATCAAAAAGGTTTGAGTACCCATGGTTTAACAGATAATATTATCATAGACAGAATCAACTGTTGGAGGAGGATTTGTGTTCCATGATAGTTAGGACAAAGCTTAGCTGAATAAAGAACTAAAACAAAAGAAACCTATGAAATTAAGGAAGTGTCTGCAACGCATTACTACTTAATGTGGCTGAATGCAACACCTCTCATACCAATCGAGGGCTGGCTCGTTGGTGTGTTAGCTGGGTTATTCCAGCATTGACACAGAATCAAGTCCCGCAACCAGCACTTTGGGGAAAAAAAAGGGTAAAGGGGAAAAGTTATGGGTGATTAACCAAAAAAAATGCAACACCTCTCACCACCAAAATGCATAGTGTGTCTGTGTCCATATACAAACAAATTACACATGTAGAAGTATTTGTTTGTCTACATATGCTTGGATAAACATGTGGAGGTAGCTTGTAGTTAGAGCATCCGCTAACTTAATTGGATCTGTCTGTATTTGAAACCAACAAACTAAGGTTATGTTTGGTATCAATGCCATTTTCACAGGCAACAGCCACACCTTGGAATTCAGTAAAGTTACTCTGGATTCTGTGCATATTTTATATTGATATTTGGTGCCACCTAGGCACCATTAGGTGCCACATAGACAAAAAAGGTAAGAGTGTTGTCTCCACTGCAAGAAATGTCAAAATGACGTTTTCTCCAAAAGTGGCTCTCAAAGAACCCGAGGCACTCAGTGTTAAACAGACTGAAAACGTTCAAGCAAACAAAGAAAAAATAAAGGGAGAAAGCAAAATGCCTACATGGCGCCGACCAGACAGAGATGCCTTGGAGAAACAACTCCGGTACCAAATACCTACTAAAAGTGTTATTCCAGATGAATCCATTTAACTCTACTGCCTTTCCAAGAGGTTCCACCTCCACTTGAAGGACTCAAAATATCCAGAAGGGCATAGAATAGGCAGGAATAAACATGCCAATCCCTGTTAGGAACAATCAATATCACCCTTCTCCCTTTATACAACAACAGTGCAAATACTGAGTACCAATGTTTGAACAGCACTACAATTTACCAACCAAAAGGTAAAGACACAAGAGCCATACTAAGATCTGCATAATCAAACGTTAAAAATGTCGAAGCCAAGAAATTCATATTATTACCTGACTTCCTAAAATTCAGTATATGCCTCCGTATCTCTTCAACTTTGCCCCACCCACAACTCAAGGGTTCTATATGAAGATAGATACCAGATATACGAGGATCATATGCTGCTTTTATAAAATTTTCACAAATTTGAGGTAGAGATAACCCTGAAGAGAAGCGGCTTTTTAGTTGATCAGATATCTGAAAAAAAAGCACAAGAAATGAACATTATGAAATCAAGGTAATTATATATTAAAAACACTTCATAATAACAAGCATCTGCTACCATAAGCAAGGGGGGTTTGGTTTAGATCAATGGGGTTGTTTGCCCAGACAAGGTTTAAATATGACATAGCTCTGAGTCATCTCAGATTTACTTTTTAAGTTTGAACAGTCAATATTTTGCCAGTTCTCTAAAGAAAATTTGTATGTGTATGCCAACCTTGTTAAAGAAGAATATTCACTTCATTATTTATGCATATTTTTTAAATGAAGAATGTCCTGAGAATGTTTTGAGATTTATTTCTGCTGTTACAGTCATTCCTGCTGTCAGTTCTAGGGTTCTGTCAGCTTGTTTACAGCTTTTCTTATTGTTTTTTATTAGGGTGTGCTGCCAGGGGCAAGGTTGTAATTTCTTACTTTTATTTTTTAATCTCATTGTTATAAGAAAGAGTTGGCACTGCCAGCTAGTTTTTTTGGCTCCCAAAGAGTTCCGTCTCTTCTATTCTTCTTGTCTTCTTCCTCTCTTCTTCCTCTCTTCTTCTCTTCTTCCTAGAAGAAAACAAAGAACCTCAACCAAGTTACATGAAATTAGATTTTCTTTATATTGCATATGTATTATAAATAACATGATTTGATGGACCAAATCACTTGATTTTTCTTTTTCTTTTGTATTGCACTTATTGCTGTCAGTGGAATTTTATTTTTCTGGTTCGTGATTCAGAGGAAAAGTCCAATGAAGATTCTTCCCTTTCGCTATATAATGGCCACTGTGGTGTGAATAAAATGTATGAGTATCTGAGGACAAATCCTATTCTCAGGAAGTAGTCCTAAGAAAGGCTACTGGTACAGTGAACTCATGGTTGCCTATCCAAAAAGAAATCAGGAATGTTGCTCCTTATTTTGATTTTGAAAGTTTGTATATGCAACATGAGTAGTTTTTTTTTTTTTCTTTTGTGATGTCATCATTGATCCAAGGTTCTTTCTTAAGTCCCACTGCATCTAGTTTTAGATGGCCATACATGTAAATGTTGATAATGACATCCCTCATTGTCTAATAAATTTACAATTTACCATTCAAAAAATAAACAAATAAAATAATGACTGTCAAATATGCTGAATAAGGAAAAGCATTTTTTATACAGAAATCTGAATGACTTCTTATAAGTAAAACGAAGCATGATTGCCGACATACAGAAACAGGTAAAAAGAAAGATAAACAGATAACACCACTAGAAGTTGGATAACTAAAATGTTCAAGTTCCAAGAATGGATACACTTTTCCGGTTTCACAAGCGAATTATACTTGATTAAGCATGTGGTTGGAGCAACTGATGAAGATGCAAAGTACCATTCAGTAACCCCAGAAACCAGGATATATAAAAGCTTAATTTTGAAATGATTTATTAGGGAAGGAGAGAAATGTTCTTAGGCACAATAAGAACCATTATGTATGCTACTGGCATAGAATGGAGAAAGAAGGTTTCTAAAAGTCTTGCATGCTAAGATGTAAAGCATCAATATTTAGCACCCTTTTTTCACTGAGGCAATAAACACCTTCATTTCAAAGTGGAAAAGGAGACAAAAAAAAAAGAGATGAGAATAATTGAAAAGGTAGATTAACTCGGGTAGGAAGAGTCCCATTTCCAAATGTGCTTCAAGTTATCGAAATGCACAAGTGTTACAGTAAGATGTAGTTCCTTACATATCATACATTAACCAACAATGGGATCATTCAAGGCTGTAAAGGTTCTTTTTTTACCACTAAATTAAGAAGAAAAATAAATTGAGAATCAAACCTGGCCTCGTAATTTCATGGACAAAACGCTGCCTTTGCGGACACGTTCCCATGGAAATGCAATTAGCATCCGCAGTTTCACGGCAAAGTTCTTCCAGCCACTAATCTCCTTGAACTCAAATTCTCCGCTCGGATACTCATCTTTGGATCCTCTCAAGCTTCCATTATCGTCGAGCTTGGTGTCTGCTTTAGTACTATCAGAAGAAGAAATGTTTTCGTCCTTCCTCGGAATCTCCTCGTTCTTAGTTTCGGAAGCCGACTCGAAAGCTCGAACTGATAAGTCCCTTGGGCGAATTGAACCATACAAGGATTGAAGAATAACTCTCCGTCTCGAGAGTGAGCTAGGAAGAGAGACATAGGTTTGGTAATCGAGGTGAGGACGATATGCCGAGTGACCGAGTTGAACCGGAAATGAAGACTTCAGTATGGTTGCAGAGAAGCTCAGACTATGCAAGCCATTCAAACGAGATGTGCAGAGGAGCTTCGACATCTCTCTCTCTCTCTCTCCTCTCTCTCTCTTTCTCTCTCCCCCTGTTTGAGGAAAAAAAGAGAAGGTTTGTGCAGCCTGTGGAGAGGATGACAAGGTTGCTTTTCTCCCACGTCATCCTTGTCTTGCTTGTCATCCATATGCTGACACGGGTATGCCGTGGGTCAAAATTAATCAAACGATCATAACCGTTACCGGTCTAGTTAGATTGACTTCACTTTGCTAGATATTCTAGCGCGCTTCTGTTTCAAAGCAAGGTTTACCTTAGAAATATGTACGGTGCAAAACAAAAGAAACAAGTTGCACTCTTCCCAAATTGATTAATGGTGCGTTTGGATAGGGTTCTAAGTAAGCACTTCCAGACTTTTATTACGTTTAAGAAGCCAAAGACGCCCAAAAATAATGCTTGGCAAAAAGGCCTCAATGGGAGTTTTTGGACCTAAAATCCCATTTGAAAGAGCCAAAAAAATGGCTTTTGCCTTTCTACGTTTATGAAAAGCATATATTTGAAAAAAAAAAAACTGACAAAAAAATATCCCACCAAACACTGAAAAGGTACTTCTCGTATAAGCACTTATTCTCTTTTTATAATGCGTAAACACTTATTCAAAAAAATGTTTATTAGAAAATTTGTTTAGAGAGGAACCCCCCCAAACACAACCTGAAATACAGTCACGTATGCGTGTGTACAGCCTATATTAATTGGGCAAAAAGATTTTTTTATTTTTATTCAACAATAAAACTGATTTATTTATATTAAACAACCTCAAAACCCAAAAATATCACAAGATCTCACTATGACTTGAAAAAAAAAAAAAGAAAAACAAAGAAGTATATATTGTTGTATAAAAAATATTTTTAATTATATAAAATACTATTAGGTTGGGCTCAGGCTCGAATGAGGATTTTTTAAGAAAACCAAGCTTGATCTGGAAAAGTAATCGGGCTTAGTGTGTTGGGCCCAATCCCAAGTTCACATGCCTAAAATCTTGTCCAAGCCCAACTGATCGGAACAAGTCTCTTGGGCTACCCAACCCATGAACAGGTTTAATATATTCATATGCTTGTTTTAGTTTAGATTGTGTTTGGTAATACTGACTTTTTTTGAAAATCAACATTTATTTTGGTAAATACCATAAATCAACATAGAGCCCCACAATACAACATGCTGGTAGATATTGCTCATGTGGCACTTAGAACATAATTTATCAAGAAATTTTGTTGTGATTATACTTCCATTTTTGTATACATTTTTGTATCTCAACTATGTTTTGAGGTATCTAGGTGCCTAATTGTTCGTATTTCTCTAGATGAATGGCATGGAAGAGGAGAAACAAAAAAGGATGTGCAATGGTCTCAATTAAATCTGGAAATTGGGTTGGTGGGTCAGGTTCGTTGGGTCAAGACACTTCGGGTTGATTTTGGGCCAGCAAAATGCTATACCCTAACCCTGAATGTTTAGGTTAGGATTGATCTACAGGTCAATCCCTAAACAAATTAGAATTTTACAAAATAAATAAAACATACATAAAAATGTCAAAAGTAATGTTCAGTTTAAAAGGAGTACAAATATAAATATGTACAGTACAAATACATAAAAAATAATACAAAATACAAGGTTTTACACTCTACATATTTATATTTCTACTCTTCCCAAAGTGAGCCTAAAGAAATTTACTTTAAAATTTCAAACATTTAATTAAAAACTTGAACATTCAACAATTCAAAGAGTGAAGGATAAAAAATAAAGATTAAAGAGTGAAAACTTCTAGAAATACATAAATAATCCCAATTAGACTTTACAATCGGGTCAACAGATTGACCCATGACCCAACCCAGCTTATTTTTGGGGTTGGATTGGGTCGGATTCATGGATTGGTTAAACATTTTGCCAACTCTAGTCTCAATTCGCAAAATCTTTGGCTGGGTTGTAGCAGAAAATTAGGATGGAATCTACCTTCCTCAGGGCTGGAGGTTATGGGCTTAGTGGATAAGCTACTTCGAGTAGGATCAATTCTATTTATCTTACTAATAGGGCCCCGAGCAATGAATCGAGAAAATAAAAGTTGATTAATTTTATTAATTGATAATCTGAAATATATCATTATTTTTTTCTCGTGGGGCAAAGCATAGGGAAGGCTTAAAAAATATTGCACCATGGGATTACACAAAGGGATCGTCCCCAACCCTAGTGCAAGCGGGATTCAATCTTAAGTCTTCACTGCACCCAAGAGGAGAGAGAGAGAGAGAGAAAGAGAGAGAGAGTTTATACCTTACAATCATGTGCAGTGTTGACCCCAACCACATGGCACATGGTTGGATACAATCTTTTGCCGGAACCTCACTAGCTTTATGTCATACAGGTTTCCGACGATTAGCCATTGGCCTAGCCCTGGTTGAGGCTTGAACCTCAGGCACTGGTAGAGCTTGTCAAGGAAGATGAAGAAGAGGATTAAGGATAGACCAATTAGGGGGAGAGGATGGAAGAGAAGTAAGTATTGATCTTCTTTTCGGTTAACCACTAATTGAGAAATATTTTTGGGTGGAGGGTGCATGTTGATGAGGGGTGATTTGGCTAGCCAATCACGATGGGACACGTGGCTAATCCAAACTGTTTACTAACATCTCGGCGCCACATGGGGACAGGTCAAAAAGAGTCAGGTCAGCCCAAAGTCCAAACCAACTAACCTAACCTAAGGAAGAATAGCAGGTCATCCCTCAACTGAGTAGAGCACATCACCTCAGGAGAACAAGCCGATGACTTCGAATGTCGGCCTGACCTCCCCAATCTAGGTAGCCATCGGCTTGAGTAGTCAACCAACCTACGTGGCGAGCTATCCTTATCTTGCTAGCATACCTATTAGTTTTGAAACCGACGGTGACATGTTGCCCACCTGGCAAAGCTGACCCTGGTCCTCGCACGCTTTGGAGAGCCTAGATGAGGATTGGTGCTAGCATCAATGCAACATGCCCTGAAGATAACATGCCAATAAGGCATATCACTCCCGGATACCTTAGACACGTCTCTAAGACCCAAAAGCCTATATAAAGGCTTCTCCATTCCTTCACAAGGTACGCGCAATAAAGTGCAAGCTATATTACTTTCTTGCTCTCAGATTCTCTACCTAGCTTATTGTAACTAGCTTGGCTAACTTAAGCATTAGAGTGCCTAACTCGGGTCCAAACCCTCAAGTGCTTTGATTTCATTTGTCTTGTAGATCAATTTTCCGACCTTAGCATCCCTTTGTCCGAGCTATCATCTAGCAGGAACGTGGGCGATATGAGCACTATCACATTGAGCTTAGTGAGTACGACATCTAATTTGAATCACAATTGTCAATCAAGACACAGATCCTAGCAGACTTTGTAGCAGAGTGTACATTGAGTTTGTTGACCTTAGGACCTGATGAGCTAGAGGTCAATTCGGAGGTATCTACCAATGTGAAACATTCCCCCAACTGGGAAGAAGAGCATTGGATCCTCCACATAGACGGCTTGTCCAACCAAAGAGGCTATGGAGCTAGGCTGATTCTATTAGGGCCCAATGAGGTGACGATATAATACACTCTCTTGTTCGGATTTTAGGCACTGAACATTGAAACTAAGTACAAGGCCTTAGCTAGACATGTGGCAATTTTTGAGAAATTCATGCTAAAGCCCACAACCCACTACTAGGCTACAAGCCCCCACTATTCAAACATGTGGCGTTCTCGTTTTTCTCGAAAGCTAAACATGTGACATTTTCTAAGAATTTGTTGCTAAAGCCCACAACTCACTATCACCATTCAGACACGTGGCATCCTATTAATTCAAGAAATAGGATTCAAAAAGTCATTAGTTTCACTCCTAAACATTTTCATCAGACAATTATTTATTAGCATAACGCATGCTTATCCATAGTCTATTAAATACAAATGGTGGGACCCATTAAAAGATTACCATTAACCTGCGTTTGTTTTTAAATGATTTTTTTTTCAAAAAATACTTTATTAATTACAAACTTAATTTAACTTTTAAAATAAGTAACTCAAAATAGATTTATTATATAAATAGTAAATACCAAAGGTGAGTTATTATTTACTAATAAGATCTCATTTAATATCTTAAAACAAATTAAGAAAATATAGATTAATAATAGATTTTTAAATAAAATAGATCAGAATAAATGGTGAATTACAAAAATAGAAGATACATATTATTTTTTTAATTTAATTTTTGATAACTAAATAATAAACTTCAAACTAAATTATACTCACGTTTCGATTTAGTTACCCTGTACTATGGGTTCATTGTCTAGTTCGATTTTCCGTTCGATTAGTAGTGCACTCGTCACTCATCGTTCGTTCGATTTTCCGTTTGCTCTTTCTCTATATCTATGTCTAGGGTTGTTCATAAGAATGCCCAACCCGACCAAACCGACCAACCCGGACCGACCCAACCCGAGTCGGCCGGGTTTTCATCAGTACCAGTCGATTTCGGGTTGGGCAAATATATAAACCGATATATCGGGTCGATTTTAGTTTTCTTGTGTAAAAACTGAAATCAACCCGACCCGAACCGAACTAGTCTTCTACTAGTTCGGTAGTTCCTAGTTTGAGTAGTTTCCTAYTTAACTATAACTAGTCTTCTACTAGAACTAGAAGGCCCATTAGGCAATTACAATTAGAATAGGCAATCTATCATAGTTTTTAACTTTCTATAATCTTTTACACCAAATAGACAACCCATTAGGCAATTACAATTAGAATTCAATTAGGTGTCCTTTTGTACCAGAGCAAAACTGAAACCGACCCAAACCGACTCAAACCGACCAGGTCGATTTGGCCTATCAGTGGGTTGATTTCGGTTTCTACTTCAGGTAACCTGATCAGATCGGGTCGGTTGGAAAAACCCCAATAAACCGACCCAACCCTACCCGTGAACACCCCGATCCATGTCTTCCTTCCCCTTCCCTCTCGATCTCAATATACGCGCGTATTGATTCGATGGGGCCAAGTATTCCCATCAAAGACCTCATCCTTTGTTGTTTATTCGAGGTTCTTTCCATCTATGTAATCTGTATAATTTCGGACTTCAGTCATCGGAATATGAATATCATGTCGCTCCTGTTTATTGGCTAGTTGCTCTCTGGATTTTCTGTTTTATTCTCAGAGAAAGCAGGGTGGGCAGTAAAAGAGATTGGAGGGAGAGAAATGGAAAGAGGGACAGCGTGGGAGCAGAGAAGAAGAGTAATAAACCCTAAATTCCTTATCGACAATCTCAGCTCTGCTATAAAAATCAGTGCTTGGGCATTGGATGAAAATTAACCAGTTCCAAATGCTTCTGCAAAGTATGTTTGAATAGAAAACTTGAAATGTCAATCAGTTAACTAGTTTCGCTTCTTCTGTTTTCTGGAGTACACCATGCCTCGAATCCCATCGGGATCCGCAGCAAAACCCAAGGGCCTGTAAAAACCCAAGACCCTAGGCTCCGAATACAGCGCTATGTTAGTGATGCCTTTCTGCAGTAGCTCCTCCAGCAGCCTCTCCATCACGGCTTTCCCCAATCCGATCCCTTGAAACGAAGGGTCCACCACCACGTCCCATATGATGGCGTTGAACACTCCATCACCGGTGGCTCGGGCGAACGCCACTGGTCTTTTCGTCTTGGAGTACTCGATCCAGAGCAGCGAGTTCGTGTTCTCTAAGGCCACTCGGATCTTCTCAGGGTCCCGGCGCGGGAACCCGACGGCCACGAATATGGAGTTGAGGTGGTCGAGGTTGAGGTCGGAGATGGAGCGGCGGAAGTTGAAGCCTCGAGATTCCAGCTCTTGGTCGGAGATGGAGAATTTCTTCGTGGGGATTTGGGCGGAAATTATGAGGTTTTTGTGGGTGTAGTTCGGGGACCTCAGCCGAATGGACGAGCGCAGAGGCGTCGTCGAGGTGATGCCCTGTAGAAGCATGTCTATGTCTTCTTCTACAATTCGGACGTCCCAAGAAGGAGGTTGAGAATCGAGATTTTCAGAGAGGAGAGAAAGAGAAAAAGAAAGGATTATCTTTAGATTTGAGATGTGATTGGCTGTTCTGCCTCTTCATCCTCTGTGTGTTGCGATGGAAACTTGTGGTTATCATGGACTGTTGAAACGAAGAATCACTTTCGATAGAGTACGCGGAAGGGTACAGTGCGCCACTTAATCTGGAACCTTGAATAAGTAGACTCTGGAAGACGTGGACGTGGATGCTGCTGATGCCTCGACGGTCCCACAAATTGTGGGCTTTATCTCTACTAAACAGGGAGGGAGGGTGTCAATGAGGTCGAAGGATCTCCAGCCCACAAGAACTCTCACGTCTACTAACAATATATTACCCCGAGAATTAGGAACATGTGTAATAGTAATGTTATGCGGGCAAACGTGGGCAGAAAATTCTCGTGGGCATGAGATTTGGATTCGTCAATAAACCAAGCTAATATATATTATAGGAATGATTACTCCTGTATTCAGACATGTGGCTCATCTATATTCGAACATCTGTAATTTTAAATATTTAAATAAAATGAATATATATTAAATTCTGATTAGCGGTAGTTTAAGAACAGAGTCCATTAGACATGTGTCAAATTCTGATTAGTGGTAATTCAAGAAAATAACCCACTAACATGTAGAGTGGAGCCCATCACCATGCAGAGTTGTGAGAAGTGGGAAGCTCCCACTTTCAATCATTTCCTAAAAAAAATGAAACTGTGCTCTTAATTACTATTAACTACTAAACTAATTAATTAATTCTAACTATTGATTATTAATAATAATTACTGTTAGACACTTCTAATTAATTAATTACATCTATTATTTACTAATAATTATTTTTAATTACTAATTAATTACTATTAACTATTTCTAATTAATTAATTCCACCTATTAATTACTAATAATAATTATTCACTGATAATCATTTCTTATAATAATTATTGCTATTACGTAATTGCTTATAATAATTAATTAGTGATAATATTGCTCATTATTAATTCGGAAAATATTTCTTATAATAATTACTGCTAATACTTAATTATTGATAATTTATTACTCACAATATTTCTCATTATTAATTCGAAATGATAATTAATAAATATTTTCGTAAGGGTAATTAATAATTCAGAAATAATCATTTTATATTTATATTAACTCGTATTAATTATTTTGAAAATAAATATTTAATGTTAATTATTATCAGAAATTACAAATCATACATTTATATAAAATAATTAATTATAATTAATAATATTATATTAATTAATATAATTATATTATTATTATTATCAATAATTATTGATAATTAATTATTACTAATACTAATGATGATAGTTATTACTTCAAAATGTTAATTAATTAATAATCATTTTAATAATGTTAATTATTAATTGGGGTATAATCATTTTATATTAAAATAAATATATAATTACTGTTACTTATTTACATTATTATTATTACAAGTAATTATCATTAATACTATTATTATTCTCCAATAAATACTTCATTTAGTGAAAGTTAAATTACAAAACTTTCAATTTATTCAATATTGTTAAACTTAAAGAATTATAAAAGAAAATATTATTTTATGAATTAACAAAAAATCATAATTATAACAAATTAATTACTTAATAAAAATAAAAATAGAATATTAATAATAATACTTTAATATTACTAGTTTCAAAAGCAATGAACACATAATAAGAATATATTACTAGTTAATAATAATAATAATAATAATAATAATAATAATAATAATATACTTATTAGTATTACTGATTTCATAATTATTAATATATTATTAATCCATTAAAAATACTGATTATTATTAAAAAATGTTAATAGAATATTTTAATTACTTAAAATCATTTTCTGAAATTACCCGTTTTAATTCGAACAGATAATTAATTATTAATTTTAAGTTCTTAAAATTATTATTTACTGAATAATTTTAATTACTCTTTGATTTAACGATCTTATTTTTGAATAATTGGTTTTTTATGTTCAATATTTTTTTTTGCAAAATTCCAAATAAATTTTCATTTGCAATGGTAACCATTTTATTTTTATCTTATTCAGTTTTCCAAAAGATAAAAAAATAAATTAATGATATTTACCTATTTTTATTAAATTATGTATTTATCAAGTTGTTTTCATTGATGATGACAATCATGATGAGTCAACTTTTTGAAAGAGAGGGGTACTAATAATAATTAATTAGTTTCAGCTATTAATTATTAATAATAATTTCTTATAATAATTACTACTAATACTTAATTACTGATAATTTTTCTCATTATTAATTTGGAATGATAATTAATAATGATTTTCATAATGGTAATTAATAATTTTATGTTTATATTAACTCATATTAATTATTTTGAAATAAATGTTTAATGTTAATTATTTATATTAGAATTATTATCAGAATTTATAATTTATATGAAATAATTAATTATTTTATAAATATATAATTAGTGTTACTTATTTACATTATTGTTGTTGTTGTTGTTATTATTATTATTATTATTATTATTATAAGTAATTATAATTAATACTATTATTATTCTCCAATAAATATTTCATTTAGTGGAAGTTAAATTATAAACTTTCAATTATTCATTATTGTTAAACTAAAAGAATTATAAAAGCAATTACTATTTCAGGAATTAACTAAAAATCGTAATTATAACAAATTAATTACTTCATAATAAAAATAAAAATAAAAATAAATATTACTTATTTCAAAATCAATAGACACATAATAAGAATATAATATTAGTAAATAATAGTAATAATAATATACTTATTATTATTACTGATTTCATAATTATTAATATATTATTAATCTATATTACTCAATAAAGACATGGAATAAAAAAAATATTCAAATTACCACTAAATGAATGAACTAAAAATCTATGAGTATTCTAATTGACTTGAGTTTGACACATTAACATGCCCAAAATTATAATTTCAACCTACATTTCCTATTTCTACCTCCGAGTTCCCACAATTCAAACATACCACTAGGTTATGTGCACCATGGGGAAATTACACTTAAAATCCATAACCATGATTGACCAAAATCAGTGTTGTCACCTAACTTGGAGGTGACTTCCATACTTACGATAGTCCCATTATTCTCCCTTCTTTCATGTTTCTTTTGTTGGATGGGCTTTGGAGTCCTGATTATATTATCAGTTGATTGTAGCCATATATGATGATGATTTGATTGTAGTCATATATTTTTCATCTCTTACTTCAGAGGATGGATGCATCTGCAAATGTTGTTTGGCATGGATTGTTTTTCTTAGCAACTCTTTGAGTGATTTTCTTCATTCTTTGCCTCTTTGAATGGATATCATTTAAATGCTTTTTATCCATTCATATGTCCCTAAATATTAAGCAGTATTGGTGATATTGTTGTAAACATCCATCTAATATAATATTTTATAAATAGATTAATGATTTCAAAGTTACTATTACTTTTTGGGGGTGGGTTGCTCAACAGGACATTGATTTTTTATTGTTAAATAGTAAATTTCAAATTAAATGATATTGTAGTTGCCCCTTACTTAGTATGGGGTCATTGTTTAGATAAAACATGGTAAGTCTCTTAAATCAAATAAAGAGCCTACCCTAAATGTTTATATTAATAATTAAAAAATGAAATAATTCAAATTAAATCAAATAATTACTTGCTAAAAATTATTGGATTAAGTAAATAATAACAATAACAATCAATTATTTATAGAAATAATTAATAATAAAAACAATCATCAAGTACTTAATTAAGTAAATAATAAAAAATAAAATAACAACCATCAGTTATCATTAATGTTTATTCAAAGCATGCCCCATAATAATTACCGAATATAGTAATTAAACCTTAAATAAGAATAAATATTTATTAACAGTCATTAAAATTGTTAAGCCAAATCATTAATGTTTATTTTATACTCGGTTGGAAAAATTATTTGAAGTAAATAATTAAATTATATAACAAAAATTTTAAATTAAATACTAAAATAAATTAATAATAATAAGAAGAAGAATGGTTAAATTAAAGTAATAAATGGTTCAAGTTTAATTTGATGACCCGTATAATTTTACGGGTTTGACATATAAGGGTCAATTTATATGAACCCGTAGACTGTATGAATGTCTTAAAAAATGGCACTTTATAAATAGTAATAAAAATGGTGATAAAAATCATTAATATATATATATATATATATATATATATATGTATGTATGTATGTATGTATATACTTTGAATCATTTTGGCCTAAACCTAGTCCATTGGCCTGTGTATTTATATCCTCTATCAATAAATCATATATTGGCTCAATTTGTCCCAATCCAATATAAATCCATTATGGATGGACTGAATCCAATCGACTAAATATTTTGAATTGGTCTAATTTAATATATCTTGTTGACCCGTTTAATCCATCCAATTTGATTTTGATTTAGACGGTCCATTTGAAAGCACGTAAGAAAAACAGAACACAAAATTTGCATCAGGTGATAATCATAATTACAAACAGATAGAAGCTTTAAAAAAATCATGAACACATAGTGCTGCAAACAATATCTTGTTGTCTTATTGTATGAATTCAAATTCGAATATGATAGTTCATACAATATGGTCATCCAAATTTCATCCGTTTATAATTATAATCTGAATTCAAATTATAAAATGTTTCTATCTATCTATAGATTCTTTTTGAGTTAAATATCTATATATAGAGTTGGTTTGAATTGTGTTTTTACATAGGTTAAAGTTTAACACAAATAATTTTCAATTCATTTGCTCATGAAAGATGGAAAAGTCTAGTCTTTGACCAATCACCCCCCTTTGTGAATTTTGATAAATACCATGAGATTGGTTATTTTTTGGGGTAAATTACAAAGGCCCCCCATACTATAGGGTTTATGACAAAGACCCCCCTGTACTAAGACCGTGAGACAAAGAGCCCCTTCCGTTAGCCCTCCGTTCAAAAATACTATTATAGTATTTTTAATCCCCATACTACCCTTCTGATGAGAAAAACACTGTTCATCGTCTCTGACCTCACGATACATTAACGGCAGCGGCAGATGGGCGGTAATCCCCTCTACCTCAGATTCCTTCACATTTCTATCTCTCTCCCACTCTCTCTCTCTCCTCCGATCTCTCTTCTTCCCCTTCCCCTTAACAGCGTTGGGATTGAACCCATTTAATTCAATCCCGATCTCTCTCTCTCTCTCTCTCTCTCTCTCTCTCTCTTCATTACTATTTCTTCAGATCAGGCCCTGGTCCCTCTTTCTCCGTTCCAAAGTAGTCTTATACATACTAAATTCCCAGTACTTGGCATCCAACATGTCCTTATCCGTTGAATCCAACAAATCTGTCGGGTTGGTGGTTTCGACGGTCGTAGTCTCAAATGCACCATCATGGGCACCCAACGGTGGTTTCCCTGGGGTGGAAGGATTCAAAACCACATTGATGTCTT